CCCTGGAGTTGAGGCAGCCCCTTGGTTCAGTGTAAGGTGTAGCTTTACAAAACCACCTAAGGATGTGAGTGGCTTTAACCTCCTGTTTAGAATTGTGTTTCTTCCTCCTTTTCCTTGTCCGTGGGTTCTGAAAATCCAGTGGCAAAACGCAGACAACATTTGAGGGAGCCATGTGCACATTTGTGTTGAGTTTGGCTTCTGGCAAACTCTGGCATCTGTGGTGGGCAGGTGAGCCGGGCCAGCACTCTGGATACAGACCATTCCACACGCCCTTCTCCCGCTTCCCTGTGACAGCATCAGGCTGTCAGGCCCTTTGTGGGTCGTGGTGACATCTCAGGTTCTGAGCCTGGTGGCCCCAGAGCTCCTCTGTCCCTCCTCCCACAGCAGAGCTCAGGCCTGGGCAGTGCTCGTTGGCTCTCAGAAGCCGTGGGCGCTCGCTGTCACCCCTCAACCTGGCCTTGAGACTTCTCTGTCTCCATGAGAGTTTGGGAGAGTGTTAGCCTCGCAGCTCTAGGGTGGTACCAGAGACATTGCAAGATCCCTCCATTGGTGAAAGAAAAGAGAAAAGATTGGGTAGGGAGGGAAGTGAGCTCAGAGAAATTTTCAGCATTTTGATCGCATTTTTAAGACTCCCCTTCCAAAAGGATTTGAAGCGGGTTACGGTATTTGAAAGGCTGCAGCGTTTGACTTTTAAGGGATAAAACCAAAGGAGTTCACGCGAAAGACTCGAAATGAGTAAATATGACCCGTGGTCTGAAGGCGCACACTGCATTTAGCCACCAGGTTCCTGAAGGGACAGAGGCACGGGTTGGGTTCGTGGGTTTGGTTCTCTGACACAGCAGACGGTGGGACCACCCGTACCGCGCCTGGGGCTTGCTCGTCGCTGAGGGCGCCCGCGTCCCTCTGTTGTGGCGGATGGCGCGGGTCGGTCCCCAGGCCCTGCTCAAGGGAGGGCGCGCCCGGGTTGGGGGACCTCGGGCCGGAGGCAGGCGGGGGTTGCTTCGGCCTGCTCCGTGGTCCTCGTTGGAATCGCTGTGAATGGCCCACCCCAGCTCAGCCGACCTAATCTAACGACTTTTTCTCTTGTCTGTTTTCTTCCCATCTTCCCGTTTCTGTGTCTGTCTGCCGCTTTGATTCTGTAGTATAAATCTGTGTTTAGGTCCTACTCCCAGGATTTCGTGCCTCACAGCCAAGCTTCCGTTCAGCCTTTCCTCCCGTCTACCCCCTCTTCCTCTCCACACTTCCCGCCCGTCCACCAGTCTCAGAGCTCTGACTTAGCGGTGCCGACCGTGGCCAGTCTGCCTCCCAGCACCGTGGACGGGCCTCTCTCGTCTTCTCAGGAGAGCAGCTTTCACGGGAACACTGTCTGCCTTCCTTCCGAAACCTCTCTCACTGACTCGCCCCCGACGCCTTCGGTGAGAACTCAGCACACACACCCCTGCACGCGGGTCTGCACGTTTTGAGAAAAGCGGTGTCGCTGTTCGTGAGTCTGCCGCCCCGCCCCCCACCCCCAGTGGCAGGCCTGTCTGATTGAGGTCTGTGGAAGGTCGCAGAGTGAAACAGGAGGGTGTCTGTTGCCAGAACAGAAACGGAACCTTCCGTACAGAGTTCCCATCAGATGGGGAACCCGATTTTCCAGGAACAGATTAGTGACCGTGTAGAGACAGCCATAAGCACGAGACAGAAAATGCGCCTGGTTTCCTGGTTGGTTGTGCGTTTTTAGAGAAAGACACAAACACCTGTGGAAGAAAGGTGCGGACAGAGGACTCTGAGACCGGAGGCAGTTGCCTCTGTGGCTGCAGGTGCTGCTGAGTTCCCTGAGCGCCTCATCCGGGGACGGGGTGCTAGCTGGCAGGGCGGAGAGGACCGGGGCCGGCAGGCGGGGGCGGCGCTGCAGCGAGCTGGCCTGTCTTGGTACGTTGCCTCCCTCCGGGGCAGTTTGAACGGCCCTTGACCTCCCTGGAGAAGATCCAGCGGGAAACTTGCGTCCCCTGTAACACAGAGGCAAGAGGTGGCAGAAGTGGCTTCCTTCTCGGGCCCGGGAAAGGTCCCCAGGGAGACCCGAGCTCCCGCTGCCGCCCTCTTTCCTTCCCCGTGAGAGGAGAGTCCCGGTCAGGGCCGGCCCGGTAGGCTGCTCTCTCTCGGAGCCGTGACGGCGGGCTGGGGGGCCTGTCACATGTGCATCTCCTCTCATCCTGTCTCCCCCAGAGTGAAAACGCCAGCGAGGAGGCTGGTGAGGGTGAATACGTCAATCTGTATTCCTCTGGCCAGAGCAGCGAGGAGCTGCCTCACTCCCGAGGAGTAAGTAACCTCAGGGCTGCCTCGTGCATGTGGCCTGGCCTGGCAGGGTTGGGCCCTGCTTCTGCCTGGCTGAGCCTCCCGGTCCCTAGCCGGCTGGGCCCCGCAGCCTTGCCGAGAGCCACGCTGGCTCGGTGGGGAGAGGACGTGGCTCCCCGTGGAGGCCCTCCCTTTGCTTTCAGGGCTTGCGTGACGCTCTCCGGGCCTGGCCGGATGGGTCTTCTGGAAATGAGAGGAGGCGGCATAGTGTTGGCCTGGCCCCGTGTTGGTTGCTCTCTGAGATTTCTCTCTATCCCGTCTTCTAGTGTCAAGGCCCGTCTTCCATCCCCTCCCCAGAGGGAGGGACTCCTCTCCCTCACCACCAAGCCTCCCGGGCCTTCGCCCCCTCCTCCTCCCTCAGCGCACTCCCTTACCCCCACAGGAACAGCTTCTGAGGAAGCTGGATGGGGTCTGTCCGGGAGCCCCCGCCCTCTGTGTTCACGAGCCCTCTGTCCTGAGAGTGTAGAGAGCTACCTGATGTGGCTGCCCTTGGTCGACCTCTGTCCCAGCCGGATACAGCCGTTCTGTTGAGCAGTCGGCTTTCCAAGTTTTGCTGCAGCAAGACGCGAGCAAGCTCAGAAGCTTGAAAAAGAATGAGTCCCTTGACAGGAGGGGCCATGAGGACACGAGTCCTCCCTGGTGGTCAGCTCACAGGGCCCAACCCATTAAAATTGTGGTCACCCCTGGTAAGACAGCCCTGCCGAGGACGCCCCCGCAGGACCTTCCACGTCTGCACAAGGCGAGCCCCGCTTTAGTTACTTGCAAGTCCTAGAACACTGTGGGATTCGACCCTGTCTGTGGAAGCTGTTTTTACCCTGGGGTCCCCTCCTCACCTGTCCACACCTGGTGACCTATGCCCCCGCATCGTCCAGTTTAGCCTCCACACGGTGGAGCCCATGCCAGGCTGGCCTTCCGTGGCTCTCCCCTCTGCCCATGACCACGCTCGGTGCTGGCTTCACCTCGCAGCACTCTCCACAAGGACGATCCATGTGTTCATGCTAACCTGGTTTCTGTCGCGGCCGCGGTGGCAGAGCAGGGATGCCAGACAGCCGTGTCATCACCGAGTGGGGTGGGCCCGGATGCCCAGGCCCGGATGCCCAGGCCCGGCTGCTGGAGGAGAGGGGCTGGCTCTCGTGCCCTCGAGCAGCTAGACCCCTTGGAGCCGTAGCTGGGAGGCAGCTGTGCGTGGCAGTCCTGAGGACTTCTAACCAGGAAGTCAGCAGGGGTTTGCCGCACGGTGGTCAAGGTCACAGGTTTTGGAGGCAGATGACCCTGGGGTTGAGTCGAGGCTGTGGCCTCCGAGCCACGTGCGCTTGGGCAGAGCCTTCAACCTGTGTCTGTGTGCGTGAGTAGCATGGTGCCTCCAGCTAACGGACAGGGTCCTGGTCGGGTCAGGTGAGAGGAGGCGTGGGAAGTCCTTAGCACAACGCCTGGCTCAGCTTGGCCGGTAGCAGCAGCTGTGAGTCCTTTCTTCCAGGAGGTGCTTGGATGGTCATAAGTAGGGGCCCCCTTTCACCATCCCCAAAGGCAAGAGGGCCTTGCACTTTTTTTTTTTTTTAATTTTTTTTTTTCAACGTTTATTTATTTATTCGGGACAGAGAGAGAGCATGAACGGGGGAGGGGCAGAGAGAGAGGGAGACACAGAATCGGAAACAGGCTCCAGGCTCCGAGCCATCAGCCCAGAGCCTGACGCGGGGCTCGAACTCACGGACCGCGAGATCGTGACCTGACTGAAGTCGGACGCTTAACCGACTGCGCCACCCAGGCGCCCCAAGGGCCTTGCACTTCTTGCGGGATTAACCGCATTCATGGTTCCCGTGTCCACGTTTCGGATTACTCCGGAGGAACTTACGCTCAGAAGCCGCTTGCAGGCAGGAATGCCGGGAAGCAGATCCGCCCGGCTTGGGGCACCCGTCACAATCCCAGCGCTGGCTTCTCTTTTCAGGAATCACCAGCTACGAAAGACGGACATCCCAGAGACCCCGCATTGGGCAGCGGCGCACCTGGGAAGGAGAGCAGAGACGGCGAAAGGTAGGACGTGACCGGGTAGAGTGGGGGCCCTGAAGGCAGCGAGCCCACTCGGGGAGAGCTGCCCCCTGCCCACCGGCAAACAGGCCTCCCGGGGCTTTAGGTTTACGTCCTTTCCCTTTTTCTGACTCTCAAAATTATACATGTGCAGGGCAGAAAGCATGGCAAGTACAGAAACATACAAGTAAACCAGAAAAATCCTTGATAATCCCACCCTTAGAGGCTCCACTCTGGCAAGCATTCTGCCATTATTTCCTGGTGATGTGCTCATGTATTATCCACTTTGCAAGTCACCCACGACAGTATTTTCTTTCTCAAATCCCAGGCCAGGTGTATTGTGTTGTTAAACCATTTGAAAGTAAGTTACAGATGTGACATTCAGGCCCTAAATACTTCAGTGTGCCTCCCGAAGTATTTTAAAAGCTTCCCGATTACAATACCATTACCACACCCAAGGAAAGTAATGATAAATTGCCTTATATCATCTGGTACGCAGACCATCCTCCACTTCCCCAAGTGTCCATAAAGCTGCTTGCATAGCTTATTTTTTTGGAACCAAGATCAGTCAGGAGTCACTGCGTTTAGTTGTGGGTCTTTGTTTTTTTTTTTTATATTTTTTTAACATTTATTTATTTTTGAGAGAGCATGAGTGGGGGAGGGGCAGAGAGAGAGGGAGACACAGAATCCGAAGAGGCTCCAGGCTCCGAGCCGTCAACACAGAGCCCGACGCGGGACTCGAACCCACACACCACACCGGGAGATCGTGACCTGAGCCAAAGCCGGTCACTTAACCGACTGAGCCCCCAGGAACTCCATGTGTCTTTAATCTTTTGTAACATTTTTCAGCATTTGCCGGAGTCAGACGTGACCCGGTTTAGAAACGTGTAGTCCGTTTCTGTACGCGTGGGACCTCCGGATCCTCTCTGGCCCTGCCACCGGCAACCACGTGGTGACGCTGCCTTCTCAGCGAGATGTTCCACAAGTTCGAGCTTTTCCTCCCTCTGCAGGCCAAGGTTCCGCTACCTCTGGGGTCCTGCTTGCCAGGCCTAAGCACAAACGGTTCAAGAGGTGGTAAATAGCAAGACGCAGAAGAAGAATCAGAGAGCACTCAATCGGGGCCCGCCCAAGAGGGCCGCCCGCCCAGCCTGCTCTTGGCCGCTCCTCAGTGCCGTCCGTGTGGGTGGAGACCGTCTGATCCGTCTGCCCGGGCTAAGATCTCCCCAAGTATTAAGCAGGGGATGATGGATCTTCTAGTTGAACACCTGGCAGCAAACGGGGGCTGCGCCAGGCAACAGAGACTCATGGGTTCAGCCTCCAGCTGCACGGAACCCGAGAGCACCATTTTTCAGAGCTGCAGATGGCCTGTGTGAACACAGAAGGATGAGCATGTCGACCACTTAGAAGCAATTACAGAGATGTTCTCCTCTTTCCACAAAGGCCAGACTGCGGACCGGACCCTGAAGGGACACGAAGCAGATGGTTCTTCCCATGACTGTGTGTGATTTTGCTCTGGGCCGTCCATGTCTTACTGAAAGCACAGGTTTTTATCTCCCAGATACTTAGGGTTAAAAATGTGGCCTGTGACCACAAGGATCCACGGTGGAAACGGTCAGAATAAAACCGGAACATGGGAGAAGATGCCGGGGGAGGCATGGTGCCTACAGACCCAGCATCTGTCTGCTCCCGGGATGCCCCCCTCACCCCCCACATCCCTCCTCTGCTGGCCGTTCTCTCCTTCTCCCCCTTCACCAGCAAACCCCGGCTCAGTCCTTCAGGCCTCAGCCCGTGTGTCCTGCCCCAGGGCCTGCTGGCCTTTAGACTGTGCTGTGTCCTTCTCAGGCCGGTGCCCCCAACTGCTGGCTTTAATGTCCGCCTCTCCTGCTAATCCCAGCACCCCCGAGGACAAGGGCCAGTCTGCCCGGCTCGTACTTCTCGGTCCCACAGAAAGGCGGCCCTTAGAAAAACACTTGAGGAATGGCGCGAATAGCCATGCGAACTTTCTTTCCCAAGCTGCTTGCCCTTTTGCCATTTCTGTCCTTGAATACCGACTATGTGGACGGTGGCCTTGACAAAGAGCAGCTGATCCCATCACTTACTTAAATAGTCCAATGAAACCTTCTTGATCGCCTTCTTAATCCCGTCCACTTACAGACGGAGCAGGTCACAGAGGTCACAGAGCTCATCGGTAGTGGCACCAGAAATCCAGTCTGTGCCCTGGCTCCCAGCCCCGACTCGGGCCCCCTGTGCTGGGGCGGGGGGAAGGGTGTGGATTTCCCCGTTGTAGCCGCAGTTCCAGAAGGACCTGTTCAGGGGCAGTCGTAACTCCTAGTCCTCACGCAGCGGGCCGCACTGCCTCGGGCCCCTGCTGTCCTGGATGCCGGGGCCTCTTGGATGCTTGCGACACAAACCACTTCTCCCTCCAGGGCCCCAAGGTCACCAGATGCTTCAGAGTTGGCTCGGTCGGAGGAGGAAGTTGACGAGCTGTCCCTCATTGACCATAATGAAATCATGGCAAGGCTGACACTGAAGCAACAGGTGAGGACAGGCCTTCCTTGAGCATCTGGGCCATAAAGGGAGTGAGAGGGCTTTGAGGAGAATGGAACCGGGAGGTGTCTCAAACAGAAGACCCAAGTGAGGCACCGACGCCCCAGGTGGCCACCCCACGCCTCCTAGGCTCTGTGCACGGCATTTATTCTGACCCCGTGCCTGGGCCACAGTGGGTGCTGAAGGACACTGGGCAAACAGATGGACTCCTAGAGAAAATGTCCCGTGTCCCCTTCTCTGGTACTTCCAGAGAGTAATCTTGGGCGAGTCGTGTAACCTAAGCCCCAGAGGACAGGACTCGGGAGGTATCATAACTGTGAACTCGGTGGAGGGTGTTCAGTTCAGAGCTTGAGCATGGGGAGCCCTCATTAGCATAAGCCGCCTTCACATTACTGTTGACCGAATGCCCCACGGTAGTTTCCGTGTGGGAGACACAGGCTGATTAAGAAATCCCAGGCCTAGCCGCCACAGCCGCCTCTGCCCTGTGCCTTGCCGGGATGGCGATTCTGGAAGCACAGAGGAACAGTTTCTTGTCATAGCCTTGACCCCGCCCTGGGGAAGGACTGTTTCTGGGCTCCGGCTGTGGCGGCACGCAGATGCAAAGACAAGCAGTGGGTATACCGCCCTTGGCACGGGGTGCGCTGGGCCGGGCCGGCCGCCGCAGAGCGTGACAGGAAAGGCGAGGCTGGCGGGGACCCTGGGGCAGCTGGCTCCTCTGCCGACAGAAGTCACGTCTCGTGACCCTTCGCAGAAAGTCCTGAAAAATCGGGGCGTGGGCGTGGCTGCCCTCACCCTTAGCTGGAAACGCACGATGCTCTTGGGACTCGAGTCCAAGCGTGGAAACACAGAAGTGCTTGGAGAGGCAGGTGCCTCTGAGCCTGCGGGCTGTGGGCCCACGGAGGCTGGCGGGGTGGGTGTCCTTCAGGATCAGAGGCAGGGGTGTGGGCTCTCGGGCTCGCCTGCTGCCAGCTCTCTTTGGCTCCCAGTAGGTTTAGGGGCTAAAGCCTCTGTTTGCCCACATGAAAGTAAGACTCGTTCCTTAGTCGGGAGACGGCAGCTGGTGTCCCATAAGCAACGTCGGGCATAATCGAGCGTCTTTGTGACGCTTTCGGGCTCCTGGGAGTGCTCCCTGTGGAGGGACTTGTGACTCCTCCCACCTGGGGAAACAGTAACGCGGGGCGGCTGGCTGCAGTTGTGGGAGCGGGTGCGCCCGCAAGGAGCCCACTGCCCCCGCTGTCTTCTCGGAGCGGCCGCTGGCAGCCCCACCTGCCTCCCCGTGGGGTCCTGCCCTCCCCACCTCTGAGACCCCGGGGCGGTGAGGAGAGAGAGATCTGATGGTACTATTGTCCCCTGACCCCACTGTGACCCAGAGCGGGGTGCCCGGGTGTCCGGGCGGCTCCCAGACGAGCCGTGGTCTGTCCTGCCTGCCGAGCGCACAGAGCTGGGCGGGCCACACGGGCACACTGGCCTCCGTGCGCAGCCACGCTGCTCCCGGGTGACAGAGGCCCGAGGGAAGGGGGCCCCGGGGTCTCCACAGTGCAGGGACTTGGTCTCGTCCCTACCCCGGACTTCCCGGCGCAGCTCTCCTACAGCCGAATTCTGCCGCACGCCCTGCTTTGCCCTTGTCGTTGCAGGGTGACGATGGGCCGGACGTCCGTGGCGGGTCCGGAGATATCCTGCTGGTGCACGCTACTGAGACAGACAGGAAAGGTGCGTCAGCGCCCCGTGCGGCGGCCTTTGTCACGGCTCTCCAGGCATCCCCTGGCCCTATGGCCGTGGCCCTACCCTCCGCGGCCCTCCCTGCCAGCCCTGAGCGGGTCGGAACGGCGGCCCGGGTGCAGCAGGGTCACCGCGAGGAGAGCCCACCCCGGGGGACAGAGCCGGGCTTGTTGCTTCCCAGCCCTGTCAGGGCGTGTCCTCCACTGGTGAAGGGTAGTGATGACCCCAAGGGACCCCAGGGTCAGTGGAGAGGGAGCTTCAAGTGCAGAGCTCGGCACCCAGTAGGTGCTCCCCCCACGGTCCCTCAAATAACGTCACGGTGACACGTGGGTAGCTTTTTCTGCTTTTCCTGATGTTTGACTCATTACGTTATTCCAGACCACTAGATGGATTTCACTCACGGAGGTCCTGGCACACGTTCCGGCCGGGAGCCTCAGCCCCAGAGCAGTGGCAGCACCGTCACAGGATGGGGTTCCGACCCTCCGCACGCGGCTGCCGCCCCAGTCAGCGTCCTGATCCACTGACGGGGCTGGAGGAGCAGGGCACCCACTGTTGGGCAGACTTTGTGCTGGCACCAGAGCTGTCGTGCCCTGAGTTCTGACAGGGAGGGGAGGAGGAGGGCCGTGAGGAAGGCGCCACGGCCTTGACCTCAGTCAAGACGGGGGACTGGTGCCTGGTGTTCCGTTGATGTCTTTGAAAATGAGTGAAAAGGTGATGTGACCGCAGGATTAAAGTCAGTTGTGGGAAGAATTGAAACACCCCAGTCCTGAAACCTTACTCCGCCAATCTTAGTTTTATGAATGACCACGTCCCTGTTTTTATAGCAGGTTTCCCAAAATACGTTACACAGAACGATTCTGGGAATTTCTGAGTTACGAAAATAGTACAGAAATGTTCACGTGGCAGACAATTTGAAAAATAGAGAAAAAGAAGAAAGGACTCCAACAAATTCACCGTAGCCACTGGGCTTTCTTTACCCCCGGCTTCCTTGGACTAGGGCAGACCCCGGTCCCGGACACGGAGTTCAAATCCGGGCACATCCCTCCCCTTCCGGCCTCGGCTGCTTGAAGAGGTTGGCGGTGGCCCGGGGACAGGGAGGTGCACGGAGCCGACCGAGCCAGCGCGGCACGCGGCCAGCACTCGGGAAGTGGCGCTCGCTCTGCTGCGGCACACCTTCCTCCACGCCCGCCTGAGTGCCGTCCTCAGCTGGGCCGAGAGGAACAGTTCTCCTCTTTCTCCAAAAGGGCTGAAGCGGGGGCTGGCTCCCGTCCTCGGCTTTGAGCGGCTTACCTGCGGGTGTGGCCGGAGGGAGCCCCGAGCGCAGGGCAGACCAGAGCCGCCCGGTCTGCCAGGGCCGTGCCCGGGGCAGGTGTTGCCGACTGGTGCCTCCTCTCGATGTCATTCACGGAGATCCTGAGGATTCCGGGGGAAACAGTCATTTGTACCTGGGTGGACTGGGGCGGGGGAGGCCAGGGGCCACACGGCACGTTCCTTGGGCGGGTGGCTTCCCGTGGACCAGAGACCACACCGGTGGCACTGTACCGGGAAGCCCGCGGCTCAGGGCACACGGACTTGGATCTGTTCTTCCGGAAGCAGGCGGTGGCCTGTGCGGGGCTCACCCCTGCCTCCTTGCCCCCGCCTCTTTGAACAAAGGCCCGGTTATCAGTGAGCCGGGTGAGTGGAGGGTCCAGGAAGGAGGCGCCTGAGCACGACGCCGTTGGGCCCCGCTGTGCATTTCCAGCCTGTGAGCCTCCCTCACGACACCTGCTGCGCCAGCCGGGCCCACCCCTCTGCTGGTCCCCTAGATTCTTGCACTTGGGGAGATGGGGGACGAATGAGAGAAGACAGAGAAGGGGTCCGTGTCCAGAGAAGGACACGGATTTAAACCGTGTGCATGTGTCACCCTCGGCCTCACCGTGAGCAGCACACACTTTGGGACCCAGTCAGGACTCAGACCTCAGCTCCGGCACAGAATTAACTCTGAAGTTCCTAAGCCTGGCCAGACGGGGAGTCTGTGATGGGGAGTGTCCTGCGTTTAAAACATTCCTTTTTTTTTTTTTTTTTTTTTAGCGTCAGGGACTGCATCACCAGCACAAGCGGAGCCAGGGGGCTGTTGGAATTCTGGGAACGTTGGGAATCCCCAGCTAGAGCCAGCCCTTCTGAAGGGCAGGGAGTGAGGGGTGGGAGCTGCTGGTCTGGGTCCCACCCGACCGCCGGGGCCAGGCTTCTCCCGGTTGGCCTTCCCTTCCCTGGCGCTTCTGTGTTCCAGCAACGTGCTGAGCTGTGGCCCTTCAGCCTTATCGCTCAGTATGTGGAAATTCCCAAGATCTTTGCCCCTGGACACTGCTCCCTAAAGTATTACCGGTGACCTGGCTTCAGAATCCTGCTGATGAGTTTGGATTATTTTCTCTGTGCCCATGACGATGAAGGCCCTTTGGGTCTCAGGTCTTAGGACAGACAAGACGCGCTCAGTGTGTCGTCAGAGATGGCAAATACGTGCAAGCAGGCACACTGCCATCTCCGTCCCCTGCCAGTGGCAGCCATCCCTCAACGGTCGCTCTTCTCTCTAGACTTGGTGTTGTACTGTGAGGCCTTCTTGACCACCTACAGGACCTTCATCACCCCAGAGGAGCTCATCAAGAAGCTGCAGTACAGATATCCTTTCCTGTGTCCCTCCTGCCCGGCTTGCTCTTCGAGCCCCTGTCCTCGCCCAGGGGCTGAGTGAGATGGCATAAGGGATGGGGGGTGGGCTTGCCTGATGGCGGTTGCAGTCACTAAGGAGTCCTGAAAAGGAGTTAGAATTGGCGCACCTGCGAGGGGGGGAGCACCCAGGCCCCCAAAGAGACCCAGGTCGGTGGCACCTGCAGCTTCTGAGCTGAGCCCCAGGGCACTGAGGTGACAGGAACCAAGTATGCAGGGCTTACCGGAATCGGGACTCCGATAAACAGCCACAGAGGTAGGCACGGCCACTCTGCCTGGCGGCAGACCAGCGGCAGACAGAAGTACCATGTCCAGGGAGAGTCGACTCCCGCCCCTCGGCCACATCTGCCCCGAGGGCTCACCCCTTCAGGGACTAGCAGCCGAGAAAGACCCAGGGCCCCGGGAGCCGCTGTCATTACCTTTCTCTCAAACCTGCTTTTCTAAAAAGCCGGCCAGCCCAGGGTCACCTGCTCCTTGGCCACCTCTCCCTGTCGCAGCCCACGACTGCCCTCTGCTGGACAGCCTCTGTTACTTGGGGCAGGAAGTCCCACGTTCTCCCTCCCAGCTGTCTACCTTCCTTTCCTGTGTGTCCTAAGGCTTCCTCCACCAGGCTCATGTCTCCTGCAGACCTCTATCGCTCCTTCCGCTGTCCCCGTACCCCAGCACTAGAGGACCTGGTCCCTCAAGACCGAAGTGGATAGTCTGCATTCACTTGCTCGCAGGCCTGGCTCAGCGTACCTGTCAAGAACTTCCTAGCGTCAGGCAGGATGCTAACTAAGCCCGTGCCATGAAGGCTCACTCAGTTCCAGTACTGTTTCGTAGGTTATTGCCATATTATGGATGGTGCCGTGGTATCACTATTCTGTGATTGGAAATAGGCTCAGAGAAGGTAAATGACCTGTACGGCTGTTTGGTGGGAGAGTAGCCACTGACATAGGTTCCCAGCTCAGGTTCAGGGCACCTACCTTGTTCAGCTGCTTCAGGCATTGATGGGAATGTTGCAGCCTTAAGATCCTAGGCCTAGCTGGCTAGTAAGTCCTGTGCTGCAGGCTCTGGCAACGGTCCTTGGTGTGTCCCCACCCCTCCAGTGTCCTGTGGATCACAGAAGAGCAGGAAGGACAGCCAGAGAAGGGTTTGGAGAGGATGGCAAGGATCTGTGACTTTCTGGGCAGAAACCAGGACCTTCGGGAGGAGCAGGAGGTGAACAGGTGTTGGAGTGGCTGCGGTGGGGAAGGGGCCTCGGAGGCTCTGGAAAGATGGGAACTGAGCGGACCCAGGGCAAGAGTGCAGGAAGCCCGTCTGGGCCATGCCCCTTCCCTGGAGACCTGGAGGTTTTAGGGCATGTGGGTTTTGACCACCCTTTTCCAGCTGAGGCTCAGCAAGGCAGCCTGCAGTGGTTCGGTGAGCCCTGCAGGAAGCTTGGCCTCGAGGAGCAGGGGAGCGGCTTCCAGGGGACCAGGGCTCCTGTGCACTGTAAGCTCTCTGTACGTGGCAGCTGGGGAAGGCAGCCCTCCCCCCACCACCACACCATCCCTGCCTGTGTAAGAATGCCTTTCTTTAACCCACACTCCACGTACGAGAAGTTCTCTCCCTTCGCCGACACGTTCAAGAAACGCGTGAGCAAGAACACGTTCTTCGTGCTGGTGCGGGTGGTGGATGAGCTCTGGTGAGTGCATCTGCCCGTGAGATGGCAGGGAGGCAGGTGGGGAGCCCTCGGGCATCCCGGGATCCCCCCAACCCCGCCACCAGCCAAGGCTGCAGGGGGAGAAGGGGCCATCCATCCCATCACATGCCACCAGCTTCTCCCACCCACTTTAACAAGATCCCTTGGGGAGAATGGCCCTCCCACCCAGACCTGGCCGGGCGTCCCTCGCATAGGGCACAGGAGCATGAGGCCTGGTCTGTGGCACCTGTGCCCTCAGCCCCCAGCAGTAGTGGAGGCCCCGTCTGCTCTCCTCAGTCCCCCACGTCCCCCCAAGTCAGCACTCGCCGTCACCATTCACTTAACAAGTACCCATCCGGCCGGTCCCTTTCCTAGGTCTGGAGAGCTGCGGGGAAGAAACCGCAGGGCCCCTGCCTTCAAGGCATTTCCCTGCTGCGGGAGGGAGGCCTTAGTCCATGACTGCACAGCCTTCGGGCCACTGTGCTCGGGAAGTGCCATGCAGAGAGGGTGCAGGAGTGTCCTACAGGCAAGGCGGCTGGTCTGAGGGGCCGGGGCCACTTAGTGACGGTCACCTGGATGGGAACGGGAACTTCCTCTGGGGTGGGATTTACATGCTAATGTCTCCATAGCCCAAGCACTAACAGGGACCTGGTGTTCATCCGGTGCCAGCAGGCACTTGTGGAGGGCACGACCGCTAAGTGTCACCAGTGGGACCATCCCCAGTGTTGCTGGTCGCTGTCACGTGACCCTTGGGTTTGTGAGGTGGATGTGGGCCCGGCGGCGGCATCCTCTTCCTATGCTGGGTCCTTGTCCCTCACCGCATGGCCCTCGGCCCTCTAGCCTAGTGGAGTTGACAGAAGAGATCTTGAAGCTGTTGATGGAACTGGTCTTTCGCTTGGTGTGCAACGGGGAGCTCAGCCTGGCGCGCGTGCTCCGGAAGAACATCCTGGACAAGGTGGACCAGAAGAAGCTGCTCAGGTGTGCCAACTCCGACCAGCCCCTGGCAGCCAGGGGGGTGGCCGCCAGGTGAGCGTCCAGCCGTGGCTTCTCCAGCTCCTTCCTCTGGCAGAGTTGCCCCCCGATCGCAGCCTCTCCGTTCCGTTGCCCTCGGCGTACCTCCCCAGCCTCACGTCCTGGCTCTGCCCGGGCCCTGCCACGAGGTTCAGCCCAGTGGATGGTCCAGTGGGTTCCTCAGGGGCTAGGCCTCTTCTCCAGGGTCATGATGTGTGATGAGTCCCCGTTTGGCGAGGAAGTGAGGAGCCAGGACGGGGGCGCCTCCTGGGACAGGAGACAGGCGAATGCATTCCGGGCCGTGGTCAGCTCTTGTCTTCCCGGCACTAACGTGGCAGCCGCGAGCTCTTGCCTGCCCGCCCCCCCCCCCCACCCCATCCCCACCGTCCTGAACATTCCTAAGAACCTGGGGATGTAGTCTCCAGTCTGTCACCAGTGCCCCAGCCACAGATGTTTGTTGATGTGTCACTTCCTGTCAGTGTTTTGGCCTTCAGCCCTGTGGTGCCATCTCTGCTCCCACTGGGCCCTGGCAGTGGGGCTACCCACCTAGCAGAGCACCAGGGTCTCGGGCCTGAGTGCAGTGTGGCCCCGTCCTGCTGCCTGTCAGCTCTGTGGCTGCCATCCTCCTGTGAGGCCGGGCTTAGGGGCAGCTGCTCCCTCTGCACCCCACTCCCCGGCTCTGAGGCCTCAGTACAAGGCCCACCCAGCTCCTGCCGTCCTGTCCCGACTGCTCATCTCGCCTCTGTCTTCTAGGCCGGGGACGTTACACGACTTCCACAGCCATGAGATAGCTGAGCAGCTGACCCTGCTGGACGCTGAGCTCTTTTATAAAATAGAGGTATGGCATTGAGCAGGGCTGGGGGCTGGGGACTGGGGACTGGGGATAAGGCTGTCTGTTGCCCTGGGCAAGCAGCCATTGCTTGTCCCCAGACAGGAGAAACGGCCCATCACAGAGAAGCCCGAGGGCTCCAGTTCCATCCAGTCTACTTCCTTTTTCAGATTCCTGAGGTTTTGCTTTGGGCCAAAGAGCAGAATGAGGAGAAAAGCCCCAACTTGACCCAGTTCACGGAGCACTTCAACAACATGTCTTACTGGTAAGGCGCATCTGAGCGGGTTCCCACGCCGTCCCCCACAGAGCGCTCTGAGGGCAAGGAGGAGGCGCCCCCTCCATCCCTCCCAGCTTCTTCCAAGGCCCTGGGCATTAATTGGGCACTGCAGGAAAAGAGCAGGGACAGGGCAGGGTGGGTCTTGCATGTTGGAAGGGGCCACCTGGGGGGCTGGCTGAGATTGGGGAGTGCCAGGATCGATTGGTAATGTCTGCCCTGGGTGGCGACAGGGGAGTTCAGTATGCCGACCGGCACTGGTCACTGCCAGCCCCCAGGCAGCCTCAAGGCTGAACTTCACCCGGCCTCTGCCTGAAAGAGAACAGCTAAGGAGGGTGTTCTGTTAATACTTTAAGCCCTGAATTCTTAGCACAGAATGAGGTCCGAAGTGTTTACACTGTAATGTGTAACAGAACTGTTAGCTTTTCTAGATGTGACTCAAAGGTGCCCATGGCCTCTTGGCATCGGACGGAGGATGTTCAGAGCGTGGCAGCCATGCGGCCTGCACCTGGCCCCGGCCACACCCCATCCACCGCTGCCACCGACAGAGCATCTAGTTGTTAAAAGGCTCTGGGGACTGCCTTTTGGAGAGAACGTGGGTCACCTCCCACTTTGCTGGTTTTTCTCCTCAGCTCAACTGTAGCAAGCCTCCGTGGGGCGTCCTCAGGGGTTCCAAGGAGGAGGTGCAGGCAGGGCCCTTCAGAGCCACGGTCCTCAGGGTGTGCTCAGGGCAGGCGCCTAAGACGAAGCAGGGGTGGCTCTTCCTCGAGTGGCTGCTGTGGCCCCTGTGACGTCCTCATGCAAGGCTGGCCTTTTGCTGGTCAAGGCGGCCTCTTCCCCCACGTGCTCACTCGTCCCCTAGGCTAGTCCGGAGGCCACCTGAGGAGCACTTCCAGCCCCAGTGGTGCCCCGGCCCGTGCTCATCAGGAACTCTCTCCTTCGATGCTCCCGCGCCTCCATCTGGAGGACCCCGTCTTGGTGTGTGGCCTCCTGACTATCCCTGCGATGCCGTGAGCTCCTGGAGAGCAGAGACGGGGGCCTGTGCTTGGCGCCTCAAAAGCCCTGAGCACGCAGTGCAGGCATCCACATCCCTCTCCACCAGGACCACCTGGGGGTCTGGGAGGAGACTGTTCAGCTCAGTGGTCTCTCTCTCTCTTTGATTCACGCAGGGTCCGCTCAATAATCATGTTACAAGAAAAAGCCCAGGACAGGGAGCGGCTGCTGTTGAAGTTCATCAAGATCATGAAGGTAACCGCGGCGCCCCGCCCAGAGTCTGCTCCTCTGGGCCCTGCCCAGCGGCCCCAGGCCCACCTCACGGCCTCCCCTCCCTCCGCAGCACCTACGGAAGCTGAACAACTTTAACTCCTACCTGGCCATCCTCTCGGCACTGGACTCGGCGCCCATCCGCAGGCTGGAGTGGCAGAAACAGACCTCGGAGGTGAGTGGCTGCGGGGGAGGGAGGGTCTGCCTGGCCCTTGGTGAGCCAGCCGTGGCAGCAGGCACACAGATGTCTGCTCCGCACCCTGGGTTCTCCGTGGCTCATCTCTGATCTTCGCTGTTGGTGCTGGGGTTGTCCCCTCACAGGGTCCTGCCACCTGGGCTGCAGGCCCATATCTGGGTCCCAGCTTCACCTGTTCCTTCCTCCCATCCACCCGTGCTCCTGGAGGGGCTGCTCTGGGCTGGGGGCCACACTGGTCACTGCGGACATACTGTGAACAGGCTAGAGATGTATTGGATGGTTTCTTTAGGGCAGGTGCCCCAGGGGGAAGGTGGGGTGGTCTGGCCTGGGGACGGGGAGGCCCCCTGAGGAAGCGTCCATCACACCAAGACCCAAGTAGGAAGAGTTTCCTGGGAAGAAGGAAATCCTGGGAATTCCTGTGAGAGGGGACGGGAGGGCACACACTGGGAGTTAGGCACCTTCAAGCAGCAGGACAGGGGCTGGGGAGGGGCCCTGCTCTGGACCATGAGGGCCTTGCAGGGAGGAGTCGGGCAAGGACCTGGACCTTTATCCTTGTGTCGAGAGGTTCCTTAAGAGAGGCAAAGCCCCTAGGGGCTGGGTGTCAGCTGGGCCACTCAGGTGCCATCTCAAGGGGTGACACAAGGGGACAGTATTGTAAGAGAGTATCGTACGGAGAAGTGTGGGACAGTCACAACAGCTGCTCCAGGAACACGTAGGAGGTTCCCGAGGAGGTGAAACATCGGGGGAAGAGACAAGCTGGGGGTGAGACTGGCAAGAACCCCACCCTGCGTGCCGAAAGGGCAGCTCGGGGAGGAGGCAGGCTCGGGGCATGACGCAGGTCGCAGTGTGCTTCAGAAGAAGCCCACTTGGGCCCCCGGGCGCTCAGCCGTGGCTGTGGGGTGCCGGGCAGGGAGGAGGGGCTGGCCTCCCCGCCTTCACACACTGTCCCGCCTGCCCAGGGCCTGGCCGAGTACTGCACACTGATCGACAGCTCGTCCTCCTTCCGCGCCTACCGGGCCGCCCTCTCCGAGGTGGAGCCCCCCTGCATCCCGTACCTGTGAGTAGAGCCCCCGCTGCCTCAGAGAGACCCTCCCTTAAGGGTTTCCAACCCAGACAGTTCTACTTCTAACTTTAAAACCAGGGGCGCCTGGGTGGCTCAGTCCATCTCACGGCTCGTGAGCTCAAGCCCCGCGTCGGGCTCTGTGCTCACAGCTCAGAGCCTGGAGTCTGCTTGGGATTCTGTGTCTCCCTCTCGCTCTGCCCCTCCCCCGGTTGTGCTCTCTCTCTCAAAAATAAATGCAAAAAATATTTTTTAAAAAGGGTTGCACCTCTCCCATCTCCCCATCCCCCTTCTCTCCGCCCCACCCCCACCTCAGGGAGGGGTCGTCACCCTTGGCTGCACGTTACAGTAAGCTGAGAGCCCCGAGAGCACTCCACGTAAAGCAGCTCAGAGAGGGTTTCCCCAAGTGTGCGTACGGAATGGACTCAGCGGGGCTTTGGGGGAGAAGCATCTTCTGGGAAATAGCGGAAAAAATCAAAGTGGGACCGGTTTGTTAGCAGAGCCCTTAATAAGCTGGGACGCGTTGGGAGTCTCAGAGAGAGGGGTAGAAGGCTCAGTGGTGTCCCGGGGCTGGGGCTGCCCTCAGGGCCCTCACGCTCGGAGATCCAGATCTTGCCGCCACTGACCCTCCCTTTGCTGACTCGCCTTTCTGCCCTCACCGGCTGCCACCGTGCTTTCCCGTTGGGGTGGCCGGCTGGGCTCCTGCGAGGGCGTCGTCTGTGCCCCATGGCTCACCTCGTGGCTTTGTGTCCTCTGTAGTCAGAAGCATGTTCCTTCACCTGTTAAGCAAACCCGAGACTCGGTGGGGAGGGAGGCCTGGAGAGCCTCTCTTTGTTATGTTTTTCCCGTTCGTTTGTTGACGTGACGAGGCTTGTCCAGCACCTGAGCTGGCTTTCCCGGGGACCCACAGCTCGGAGGTCGGGACTTCCCGCTGGAAGAGACGGACACTCCCAGACACGCTGCCCGGGCGCAGCCCACGGGCCCGAGCGGGCCCCGACTGCCGTCCAGGGCGGTGACAGGGCCTCTCCCTCCTCCCAGGGGGCTTATCCTGCAGGACCTCACCTTTGTTCACCTGGGAAACCCAGACTATATCGACGGGAAGGTGAACTTTTCCAAACGGTGGCAGCAGTTCAACATCCTGGACAGCATGCGATGCTTCCAGCAAGCGTGAGTACCGCAGCCGGGCAGAGGGGAGGGGACCGCCGGGCCGTGAGGCTCAGCACGCACGGAGATGGTGGCCTGCTTGTTCCCTGCACGGCACGTAGGAGGCGGCTCCAGAGCAGTTGGGGGGGGGGGGGTCCCAAGGAGCAGGGTGGCCTGCTTGGGGGCGGACGGTGTGCGCGGCCCCCACCGGCTCTGACTGGCGCCCTCCCCCCCCCCCCAGGCACTACGACATCCGGAGAAACGATGACATCATCAACTTCTTCAATGACTTCAGCGACCACCTGGCCGAGGAGGCGCTGTGGGAACTGTCTCTGAAGATCAAGCCCAGGAACATAACGAGGAGAAAAACAGACCGGGAGGAGAAAACCTAGAAGCGGGTGGCGCGAGCGAGGAGAACACGGCTCGAGAGGGGCCCCGAGGGCGGCTCCGAGACCGGGAGGGACGTTGGACCTGTCCCCGGGCAGGCTGCACGCGTCCTGGCCCCGAGGCCCAGCCAGCCCTCGGCTGTGACGGGTGGGAGCCCCGGCAGCCTCCCGGCCCCGCGGGAGCAGACGCCAGGCCCGCAGTGGAGCCAGCAGGCGGGTCTCGTTCCCGATTTGTGAACCCCGTGGTGTTGGTTTCTGCTTTCACTTCTGTGTCCCCCTCCGCACCCCTCCCCCGCCTGGCAACAGCACAGGGATGTCAGCAGACAGGGTGGGGGCGGGGATGGTGGCCTCTTCGCCCCCCCCACCTCGGGTCCTAGGGTCCTGGATCTGCTGACGTGACACACAGGTAGAGGACCCTCGCAAGGCGGGGGGGGGGGCTGGACTCCCAGTGACCTGGAATGAAGGGGACTTCCGGTCGGGTGGGCAGAGAGCAGAGAAGACCCGGGAAGGCTCCTTCCACTTCCCCCGCCCTGCTTTTTAACATGCAAAATGGCATGAGCTTCGTATGTGGCACCAAAAGGTTCTTCCGGCAGGTGGCCTTTCAGCAGGCCCAGAGCTGGTGCTCCCGTCACGGTACTGGCCCTCACGGTGGTCCCCCGTCTGTCCCTTCATCGCCCCTGTCACCTAGCGCTCTGGGGAGTGGGCAGAGGGAGGAGCAAAGGAGGACTTCTGTTTTATCTGAGCTGGGGCCGGGAGCTCCCCGGGGAGTGAATGTGGAGAGCGGAGGGGTGTTTCTGTCCTGGGGAAGGCCCGCGGCCCCCTCCTCTGTCACTTGCTGTGTGCCTTAAACTCCATCTCCTGTCCCCCCCCTGCCCCGTGGGTTCCCTTCCTACCTGCCTCCATCGGGTGGAGCCAGGGCTGCTCCGCCCTGGCTACGGCAGTGTCTACCCGGGGCAGGCTTGCTTTCTCCTCTGGCAGAGCGTCTTCCTTGTTGGAAACCCCTCTCGCTGCTGAGGTTGACGGTCCGAGGCAGGGAGCTCTCCGCACACAGAGGGGCCGGGCGGCTGCCCCCACGCCTCTCGCGTCCTGGTCTGTGGCTGAGCGCTCGCTTCTCCTGGGCTCAGGACTTGGTCAAGCAAATGCCGGGATCTAACTTCCTAAACGACCAGTCCCTTTGAGTCCCTCGTGGGTTTCGAACAGCTCCCTTCACTTGTTTGTGGTCCTGTATGTGGAGGGGGGAACATCTGTGAAATGCCAGTGACGCCCCTCTGGTGGCGATCTTGCGGCCAGAACGTGTCACTTTCTTGTTTGAAGTGTGTGGTTCGTGCTGAGGGTGGGCTTGCTTCCCACTTGGAACCTCTCGCTGCAGTCTTGTCCTCTCCCTTCCCGTCACGCCTCCCTCCACCCCAGCTCCACTGGATGCTGTCGTGTGCACGCACGGGGGCCACCGTGCCACAAATAACTGACGCCGTGTCTCCGCCACACACGTGGTCAGGTGGGTGTCCATGGTCAGGGTCTGGCGACCGGCCAGGCAGGGGGAGGCAGTGTGGCGGGGACGAGGGGCCCGTGTGTCAGGGCGACCCTGTGTGAGGACCGCAGGGGCAACGTGTGCTTAACTTATTGGCTGACGGGCTTCCCACCCCGTGCCTCGCTGAGGCACCCTCGGGGCTCTGGGAGCTGCAGACCCTGTGCCGTCACCGCAGCCTGCCTGTGACTTTCTGCCTCGGGAGGAAAGTCATTCTCATCTGCAGGTGGGGCCGGGGCCAGCGGCAGGGCAGGCACACACCAGGTCAGCACGAACCCAGCTCTCCAGAAGCGCCTCCACACACGCCCCCGCCCCCGCGACGTTCGTTGTAAGATATATATATCCCCCACTAACCTGGCTGATAGCATCTTCCTGCAGACATTTCAAACCTGTAACTTTTATATGAGAGGAAAATAAACACAGACGAAAGCGTCCAAGCGACAGTCCGAGCTGCCTCCACACAGGCGGGGCCTCCGGCAGGATGCAGTAACAACCCAGTCCTGGGGCCCGTGCGCTGGGGCCGGGTGGTTTTGGCAGGGGGGGATAGAGGTCACCAGCCCCTATCTGGGATTTTCCCTCCTAGGCCTGGGGCTCCAGAAGCAGATTAATGCACAAGCCCTATACTGCTCCCTCAAACCCAGCATCCTAAAAAAACTGAAATTTCCAAGGTCGAGTTCAGGGGGCACAGAGGTACCTAGGGCTACTTTCCAAAGCCCCTAAAGCTGGTCTCTGAAGGTGCACCCTCTGCAAGATTCCATCCGCCTGCCACTCACAAGGCAGCACACATGGGCTTGGAAACAGCCCAGTAAGTTCCGGTCTTTTCTATCTGAGGTGGGCTAGGTCTCCTCCATTTAAGGTGAGCCATGGGACTTCTTCCCAGCCTGTGTGTCAGCCCCCTTCACTGTCCTGCCCACGAGAAAGAAGAGAGGTCCTGAGTCCTCCACTAGCCGACAATACCAAGAACCAGCCTGGTCTGGCCCCACCCCCCCTGCAGGTGACTGGCAGGTAACGGGCCAGGTGCAGATGGGTGCACTGAGCCTGCCGACCAGAGCTGCAAGGCCTGGCTGGTACCGCCCACCCTGGTTAAATGCCTGGGCTCCACTGACACCCCCAGAGGGGTCTGGGAATCTGCATGTCTGGCCCAGCAACTCAGGATGCTCAGATGACCTGAGAAGGACCCTCCCCTAGCTGCCCCCACCCCCGTTCAGACCTTAGGTCCATGCGCAGGGCCGGTCTTCTGTGGGTGCAATGGCCTCGCACTGTTCTCTCCCGTCCTGGTTCCGCAGCTGATAAGCCCAGAGACCTTAGGTAAGCGGCCCCTTCTCCACTTCCTGGTTTCTGCAGCCGACAGTGGAGGTATTGTCATCTTCCACCTCATAAGGTGAGAGCCCAGCAAGGTAGGACCTGGAAGAGGTCTGGCAAGCTGCCACCTCCCTCATCACTTGCATACATGTAGATCCTGCGGACCAAGCACTCTGCAGACCCCTTCATTCAGTCCTCTTAACTGAAAATCCCCACAAGTGAAGTATTCGGGCCATGATGACAGCCCTGAAGAAGAGGCTCTTGACATTAAAGAAATTGAATCTGGTTTGAAATCCACTCACAGACATCAAGTCCAGACAGGCTTAACAGGTGATCCGTGCCAAACAAATAGCTTCAGGCTTACCTGCACACTCCTGAGAACAGAAGGGGAAACACTCCTCAACTCGTTCTGAGCGGAATACAGTCTTGACATCAAACCCAAGACAACCGTCCAAAAAAAACTACAGGCAAATACTTGCACGAAACTTCTAAAATAATCTTGGCAACCCCAAGCCAACAGTGTGTAAAAATCAGCACTCTCCCTTGGGTGCAGGGACGGAATGCCTGTACGCCGGTGAACTGACTAGACCTCGTGCACTAGATGCCTTCTTCGGGTGCTCCCATCTGGCCGCCTCTCCTTCCCGGGCGCAGGGGAACACTCTGCTTCCCAGCCCCTCGCAGGCAGGCCCCTCAGAGCCAGACGTGTCCCCGTGGGCCGGGCACAGCATGGGTGCCACCTTCATGCCCGCTCTTTCCTCACCGTGACACCCTTAGGTTCCCGGTGCAAGTTGGCAGAGTTCCAAGTTTCCAAGGGAAACCAGACCGGGGCCGCCCCCACTAGACCTGACATGAAGAAAAAACGAACTTGTGCTAAGCCTCTGAGATTTCAAGGTTCGTAAGGTCTCATGACACGGCCTGGCCACTCCTGAATGAAACACGCTAACGAAGAACGCCATATAATCCCCTCAGTCGTCATTAGGACCTTTGTTAGAAATGCAACACCCATAAATTTTGTTTAAAACTCTTAGAAATCAAAACCTTTCTTAATCTGGTAAAAGTTACCTTCCAAAATCCCATGCAAACATTATACTTAATGTTGGAATACTCAGAGCAGCTCCTTTAAAATCAGAACAAGGGAAGAATCCTACCGCCACGTTGTCTACTTGTACTGGAGATCCTAGTGAATGCCGCTGGAAAAGAAAAATAAGGGATTACTAAGCAAATCTACTGGGCGGCCTGGCTGGCTCAGTCGGTAGAACATGCGACTTTTCATCTCAGGGTCCTGAGTTCAAGCCCCACATTGGACATAGAGCCTACTTTAAAAAAGAAAAAAAAGAAATGGGGCATCTGGGTGGCTCAGTCGGTTAAGTGTCCGACTTCGGTCTAGGTCATGAGCTCTCCATTCCAGAGTTCAAGCCCTGTGTTGGGCTCTGTGCTGACAGCTCAGAGCCTGTTTCAGATTCTGTATCTCTCTCTCTCTCTCTCTCTCTCTCTCTGCCCCTCCCCTTCTCGTGCTCTGTCTCTCTCTCAAAAAAAAAAAAATAAATATTAAAAAATGTTTTAAAAACTTAATCTACCAAGATAGTTAGCTGTACAGTCAGATAAAAGATTGAATATGTTCCTATATACAGTCAGTAATTAAAAAACAATTCTTAAAAGATCCCATTTATGCTCCTATCACAAGTCTTTAAGGTACTAGGTACTTCAAAGGACCTTTGTCCCAACAAAGGACACCTATATATAAAGCAAGTATTAACAGACCTAAGGGGGGGAAGGGACAACAATAGAATAACACAGGATTTAAGTGCCCCACTCACATCAACGGACACATCATCCAAATAGAAAACCAACAAGGGGCCATCAGCCTTAAAGGACACAGGAGACCAGATGGACTTAAATCCAACGTGCCATCCAAAAGCAACAATACACCATTTCAAGCTCTCGTGGAAGGAACATAGAGATTAGGCCACAAAACAAGCCTTAATGAATTTAAGATTGAAATCCTGTCAAGCACCTTTTCTGACCAGAATCCGACTAGAAATCAGTCACAAAAAGAAAACTGGAAAAGCGTTCTTGCCAAGAGTAAACAACACATTACTACTGCACGACCACTGGTTCCAAGAAAAAATCCGAAAATACCTTGAAGAAATGAAAACAGAAATACAGCATGCCAAACGTGTGCGGCACAGCAGATGCGGTTCTGAGAGGGGTGGTGACAGGTAGAGATTAAAACAACCCGGCTTTACCGTCAAGGAGCTAGAAAAAAGAACAAACGAAGCCCAAAGTTAGGAGAAGGAAGGAAACGAAGATCAGAAATACATAAAATTGAAACTAAAAAGATAACAGGAAAGATGAATGAAACGAAGAGCTGGTCCTTTGAAAAGATGAACAAAATAGACTCACCAACAGAGTACTCAATCTAATGAAAATGTTACAGCTAAAAAAGGCGAGGGGTGGGGGAGGGGCACCTGGCTGGCTCAGTGGGTAGGGCAGGCAACTCTTGACCTTGGGATCATCAGTTCAAGCCCCACACTGGGTGCAGAGCTTAAAAATTGATGTTATAACCGATACCACAGAATCAGAGGGTCATAAAGACAACCAAGAACACCCATATGCCAACAATTTGACAGTCTAGAAGAGGTGAATAAATTCCTAGAAATATATAACCTACCAAGACAAAATCATGCAGGTGTAGAAAATAGGAACAGGGGCACCTGGGTGGCTCAGTCAGTTAAGCGTTGGACTCTTGATTTCAGGTCAGATCATGATCTCACTATTTGTGGGATCAAGCCCCACATCAGGTTCCATGCTGACAGAATGGAGCCTGCTTGGGATTCTCGCTCCCTCTCTCTGTGCCCCACCCCACTTGTGCTCTCTTTCTCTCGCTCTCTCTCAAAATGGTAAGGTCAGTTCATTCACCAAAAACCTCCCAATAGGAACACCTGGATGGCTCAGTCAGTTAAGTGTCTGACTCTCGATCTCAGCTCAGGTCATGATCTCACAGTTCATGAGTCCGAGCCCCATGTCAGGTTCTGTACTGACAGTGTGGAGCCTGCCTGGGATTCTCTCTCTCTGCCCCTCCCTCACTCGCACACGCACACACTCTCTCGCTCTCAAAATAAACTAAACAACAAAACAAAACAAAAAAAACCTCCCAACAAACGAAAGTCCAGAACCAGATGGCTTCACTGGTGAATTCCACCTAACATTCCAAGAATGAACACCAATTCATCTCAAATGCTTTCAAAAAATAGAAGAGGAGGGAAGACTTCCACATTCCTTTTGTGAGGCCAGCCTTACCCTGCGACCAAAACCAGGCCAGGGTGCCACAGGAAAACCACAGGCCAATGGCCCTGATCCACATAGATGCAAACCTCCTCAATAGAATGTTAGCAAACCAAATTCAGCAATATATTAAAAGGATCATGCGCCATGACCCAAGTGGAATGAGATTCAGGGATGATTCAGTATACACAAAAATCAATGGGATACACTCCCTACGTTAACAAAATAGAGGGAAAAAATCCTAAACTCATTTCAATAGATGCAGAAAAAGTATTTGACAAAATTCAACATCCATTTATGATAAAAACTCAACAAAAGTGGGTACAGAGGGAATACACCTCAGCATAATAAAGACCACCATATAGGACAAGCCCACAGCTAGCATCATACTCACTGGTGAAAAGTTGAAAGCTTTTCCTCTACGATCAGGAACAAGTCAAGGATGCCCACTCTCAACACTTTTATTCATAATAGTATTGGAAGTGCTAGCCACAACAATTAGACAAAAAAAATAAATAAAAGGCATCCCCACTGAAAAAGAAGAAGTAAAACTATTTGCAGGTGACAGGATATATATATTTTTTCTTTTTTAATGTTTATTTACTTTTGAGAGACACAGCATGAGCAAGGGAGGGGCAGAGAGAGAGGGAGACACAAAATCCAAAGCAGGCTCCAGGCTCTGAGCTATCAGCACAGAGCCTGATGCAGGGCTCAAACTCATGAACTGTGAGATCATGACCTGAGCCAAAATCAGATGATATTATATACAGATGATGTTATATACAGAATGTATCTGTATATATAGAATATATCATTTGCCCCTCAGATTATATACAGAAAACTCTAAAAATTCCAC